TGAATGAATGAATGAATGAATGAGTAATCACGTGCCCTGCCTATCCGTGTTTCTCAAGCCTGGCATCACTTTAGAATCTCTTGTTAGGATTTATGACATCCAGGCTTTACCTCAGAAGCTGAGAGTGGCACTCAGTTATAAGCATGTGTTTCCAAGCTCCCCAGGTATTCCATAGTGCAGCCAAGTTTGAGACACTGGGGCCTAAGAACCACATAGAACTAATTAGAATCCTGAAGTGTCTGTGATAATGGCAATAAGCTTTTTGTAAGATTACAGGGGACATAGGTTAAGTTGGAAAGCCTGAGTGTTGATATTCCTAGGCTCAGGAATTTTAATTTAAGCAAAATTAAATGTCTTAACTTGCAAAGACATGAATCTGTAGATTCCAGATTAATGGCAGGTGTGAATTGTACAATAGAAACTGATCTAGCCTACATGTCTTCTTGGACTGGCAGACTATGTTAATCTTTTTATTTATGATATAGTTCAACATTATCCCCTTTTGTACTGAATTTTAGATTACTGATTTTGGGCACTCCAAAATTTTGGGGGAGACCTCTCTCATGAGAACCTTATGTGGAACCCCCACCTACTTGGCTCCTGAAGTTCTTGTTTCTGTTGGGACTGCTGGATATAACCGTGCTGTGGACTGCTGGAGTTTAGGAGTTATTCTTTTTATCTGGTAAGAAACATTTTCATTGCTTCACAGACTGGTAGGAGGTGATTAAATGAAGTCACAAATGTGTCTTGCTGTGTTGTCCAGGCTAGCATGCAGTGGCTTGATCTTGGCTAACTGTAGCCTCTGCCTCCAGGGTCAAGTGATCCTCCCACCTCAGCCTCCTGACTAGCTGGGACTACAGGCGCACACCACCCTGTCCAGCTAATTTTTCTATTTTTTGTAGTGATGGAGTTTTGCCATGTTGCCCAGGCTGGTCTCGAACTCCTGGGCTCAAGTGATCCTCCTGCCTCAGCCTCCCAAAGTGCTGGGATTACAAGCATGAGCCATTATGCCCAGCCTAGCTCACTTTTTGACCATTGATATAAAGAAAAATCTTGACTTTTCGTTATGCTGAGAAAGAAATCTTCATATCTGAATGCCACTGAGAATGCCACTTGATTTCTTTTCCTTTCTCTCTCTACCAATATTAAGCCTTAGTGGGTATCCACCTTTCTCTGAGCATAGGACTCAAGTGTCACTGAAGGATCAGATCACCAGTGGAAAATACAACTTCATTCCTGAAGTCTGGGCAGAGGTCTCAGAGAAGGGTATGAATACGAAAGGGTTAAGAATTTGTGGTATGCTAAAATGTGTATGTGCTGTGGTGGGAGTTTCTTTCCAAATTCCATGGTGTTTTCTCCTGTCAATTCTGTTCTTATTTTCTGTTGTTAGTTTCACACCATTTGAGAGGCACTGGAAATTATTAAGAGTGTGCACTCAGGTCCTGGGTCTGCTACTACTTAGCTGTGTGGCCTTAGGCAAGTTATTTAACCTCTGTCTCTAATTTCTTTCTGTGTAAAGGGACCCTCAATAATCCCTACCTTAAAAGGTTTTTGTAAGGGTTAAGTATAATGTACACAAGTGCCTGGTACCTATTTTAGTGCCCAAAAAAAGTGCACTTGTAACTTTTTAGTTACAGGGTTTCCTTTGAGTAAGCAAGCATGTAAAAACTAGATGTCATTAGTTACCTTGTATTTTATAATTTATCCTGGCAACTTTAGTTCCCCAAAGAGAAAGTAGAAAATTAAATGTCAAATAATATAACATAGGTGATTGTGTTAAATGTCAGAATATTTAAGGAATAATAGTGTTGTAATATACAAGCCAGCGTGCATTTGTTGCTTGCTGGAGTAGTCAAGTTTTATTTCTGACAAGTCTGCAGTTCCAGGAAGCCTCTCCCTGGCTGAGTAACTCTCACCCATCCATCTGTAGATGTCAGGGAGAGTTTGCTACGTATCCCAAGTATCTTAGAATTGGGTGGAAGTTTAGCTTTAATTAGTTTGACCTTGAGTCAACAGGCAACAAGAGAGGGAACAGGCAGGGAAGAGGTCGTGACTGACATCCCAGCAGTAGGAGACAGGGAGTGTCATTATCATTCCTGGTCTTCTCATAGTACTCTGAATACAGAGAGTGAGGAAGATTAGGGGGCCCTGTCTGCTGACTCTGTGATGATCTCAGACCCTCTCTGCTCTTTCTGGATGGTGGCCTGTTAATTCTGGCATACTATTACGATTTAATATATTTATCCTTTTCACTGTGATTTGCCCAATTGTTGCTTTAGCTCTGGACCTTGTCAAGAAGTTGTTGGTAGTGGATCCAAAGGCACGTTTTACGACAGAAGAAGCCTTAAGACACCCGTGGCTTCAGGTGGGTGTGGGATAGTGCCTGCTAGCATAAAATACATGGGAAGCTCTGCTGCCTAAGAGACATGAGGCAGAGGACAGAAACATGTTTACTTTGTTAAGTCTGCTTAATCTAATTGTTTTAGATATATGGCGGATATCTTAGAGGATGGGTTACAACCTGTTTTGTTTTTGTTTTTTGAGACAGGTTCTCGTTCTGTCACCCAGGCTAGAGTGCAGTGGCGCGATCTCAGCTCACTGCAACCTCTGTCCCTCGGGTTCAAGCGATTCTTCTGCCTCAGCCCCCCAAGTAGCTGGGATTACAGGTGCATGCCACTATGACCAGCTAATTTTTGTATTTTTTGTAGAGATGGGGTTTCACTGTGTTGGCCAGGCTAGAACCTTTTTGATGTTACTCATGGCTGTTGGATGTACAAACTCACTTTCTGTCCTGTTCTGGTTCCACTTGACTGCCCCGAGTCTCCAGTTTGGCCTGTGTTCCTTTGAGGGCTTGTTCTGGCTCTAGCCCCAGCCATGTCCACCGTTCCTCACAGGTGGGATGCATTCTAGCCATCTTCAACCTTAAATCAGGGAAGCTGCGGGAGGGGAGGAGGGCAGCCTCCCTAGGGAGAATCCAGCTGTTTCTCAAGCCCAAGTGACTGGGTACAAAGGGTCCTACTGCTTGTTCATTCAGGTGAGTAAACGTGTCCTTAGTGAAGGCTATCACCTGCACCTTTCATCTGTATTACTGCTGTGTTCCTGCTAGCGGTTGGGGCTGCCATTATTAAATGCTGACCTCATTTGGAACTGCCAAGAGTTGGAAGTACGTTGTGGCTTTGCTGGGTTAATCTTTAGTTTTGGAATTAGCTACGGCATTGGGCAAGTTTTTCTGATAGATGTCTGGTCTTCTGTTATGAGCAGTTCCATTCAGCACAGCCATGCCCCTTTCTATTAATTTTCTTTTGGTCTGTGTATTAGTCTGCTCTCACGCTGCGATAAAGAACTGCCCGAGACTGGGTATTTTATAAAGAAAAGGTGTTTGATTGACTCACAGTTCAACGTGGCTGGGGAGGCCTCAGGAAACTTAAAATCATGGTGGAAGAGGAAGAAGGCATGTCTTAATGGCAGCAGGGGACAGAGTGTGTGAAGGAAGTGAAGGGCGAAGAGCCTCTTATGAAACTGTCAGATCTTGTGAGAACTCACTCACTATCACTAGAGTAGCCTGGGGGAAACCGCCCCCATGTGCCAGTCTCCTCTCAACAGGTCCCTCTCTCAACACCTGGGGATTACAATTTGAGATGAGATTTGGGTAGGGACACAAAGCCAAACCGTATCGATCTGTTTTCTGTGGAGATGGGGGACAGAACCAGGTAGCTTGAGCTCTAGAGGCTGTTACTTGAGCTACATGCTGTTTCTCTGGGGATTATTGGTCCAGGAACTCCTTGGGCAATGCAACCTCAGCCCCATACTTCTGGGACTCTGGGAAGACTGTCCCCATTCTCTGTTCCAATCCTCTACACCTGACAGTTTTGCTCAGGCCAGCTCAGGTTGAGAACAACAAATCCTTAAAAAAAAAAAAAAAAGACAGATATATGTGTTTTGGATGTTGCCCTGGAAACTACAGTCTCCCCAGAAGAAATCTGTCAGATGATTTAGCATTTAATAGACCACACAGATTTGAAACAGCAGGACCCTGGAGGAAAGGGGTTTGGAAACAAAGGGTGCCTTTGCATGTGGGGATTTTAAGTGTGATGAAAAAGAGAAACATGTCTTTTGGCTCTTTTCATGTGTCCTAATAGGGAAACTCTTGGGTCTAAATGTAGAGGTACAGGAGCTGTGTTCATCTCTAACAAAAAAATAGAGCTGGCCAGTTGAGCCTGGGAACAGGGTTTGCATCTGCCTGAAATTTATGAGTAAGCATGGCCTATTTTTCTTGTACTTCTTTGTCTCAAAGAAAACTTATTAACAACCAAGGAGAAGGTGAAGTTCAACTCTGTTGCAGGGTCTCCCTGGAACACTCTTTTATCCACCTTTTGTTTTTGCAGTAAAAAGAGGAATGAGCATTGAATGAAGACAAAGATGAAGACTGACCATCTAAAACATCTGTTAGTGATAGTTTGGGTTTTATTTTGGGAAAATTCAGTGTTTTCAAAAAAACCAAATGGTTTTGTGGGTCTGGCGCTGGACTGAGTGTTGGGAATGTGGATTCTGGTCTCTGTTTTGTCATTAACAGAGTGCCCAGTTTTGGGAGCATCCCTTATATCTACTCTCTGCCTTGTATTTACTGCCTGAAATAGAGGATTTCTTCTGTTTGCTTTTAAGGGATATTATAATTTAATCTTTATTTCATTTATTGTTGGAGACAAGGTCTTCCTCTGTTGCCTAAACTGGAGTGCACTGGTGCAATTATAGCTCACTGCAGCCTCGACCTCCTGGCCTTAGGGATGCTCCCGCCTCAGCCTCACAAAGTGCTTGGATAATAGGCATGAGCCACTGTTCCTGGCTAATTTAATATTTGGGAATAATTGTAGACATCCTGAATAAAATCAATATTTATTTATTTATTTCGTTTTCTGAGACGGAGTCTCACTTTTGTCTAACAGGCTGGAGTGAAATGATATGATCTCAGCTCACTGGAACCTCTGCCTCTAGGTTCAAGTGATTCTCTTGCATCAGCCTCCCAAGTGGCTGGGATTACAGGTGCCTGCCACCATGCCTAGCTCATTTTTGTATTTTTAGTAGAGACGGGGTTTCACCATGTTAGTCAGGCTGGTCTCGAACTCCTGACCTCAGGTGATCCACCCACCTTGGCCTCCCAAAGTGCTGGGATTACAGGCATGAGCCACTGCGCCTGACCTGTTTACTTGTTTAAATATAGGCCCGATTAGGCTTGTGACCCCTCTGTTCGGCTTCACTGAAGGGCTGCTGAGAGATGGACTTTTGAGAGTGACACTGCAAGATAACTGAGACCCTAAGTAAGGCCATGAGAGGGTGTGGAGTGGAATCCAGATGAGCTTGCTGCTGTCATATGGCAATGGGGAGCTACACTGAGAAACTTAAAACAGAGTGACCTCAAGTGATCTGCCCTGCCTCGGCCTCCCAAAGTGCTGGGATTACAGGCGTGAGCCACTGTGCCTGGTCCTTCTTTCCTTCTTTCTTTCTTCCTCCTTCCTTCCCCTTCCCCTTCCCTCCCCTCCCTTCCCCTCCCTCCTCTTCCCCTCCCCTCCCCTCTTTCCTCCCCTGCTCCCTTTTTTCCTTCCTTGCTGCTTTCCTTTCTTCCTTCCTCAGGGTCTTGCGCTCTCACCTAGGCTGGAGTGCAGTGGGATGATCACTGCACCATGACTTTCAGGCTCAAGTGATCCTCCAGCCCCAGTCTCCCAAGTAGCTGAGACTATAGGTGTATGCCATCATGTCTGGCTAATTTTTAAATTTTTTTTTTTTTTTTTTGAGACAGAGTCGCACTCTGTCACCCAAGCTGGAGTGCAGTGGTGTGATCCCCGCTTACTGCAACCTCTGCCTTTCGAGTTCAAGTGATTCTCCTGCCTCAGCCTCCTGAGTAGCTGGGATTACAGGCGTGCACCACCATGCCTGGCTAATTTTGTATTTTTAGTAGAGACAGGATTTCACCATGTTAGCCAGGCTGATCTCAAACTTCTGACCTCAGGTGATCCGCCCGCCTTGGCTTCCCAAAGTGCTGGAATTACAGGTGGGAGCCTCCATGCCCGGCCTAATTTTAAAATTTTTTTGTAGTGACACAGTCCCACTATGTTGCCCAGGCTGGTCTCAAATTCCTGGCCTCAAGCAGTTCTCCCACCTTGGCCTCCCAAAGTGCTGGCATTATAGGCATGAGCCACCATGCCCAACCTAGTGTTGTAAAATTTCCATATCCATCAAATTGCCAAATGGTGGAGGACTTTACTGTATCCTCTCCCTTTGCCCACTGTGGTATGCTTGGCTCAGTGGGGCTGGAGTTGGGTGGGAAAGTACATGAGGCATTGGAATCAGATAACTCTGGGTCTGTATTCTGCATTTGCCACCTGTGAGTGGCTGAACTGGGCTTCTGGCCAGCACTCAAAGGCCACATTCCTAGTTATAGATGTTCCTTTCACCTTGGTGAAGATGAGGAGAGCTGCACCAGACCACCTCTCAGGGTTTCCTAATGCAAATCCTTGAACCCTGCAGAAGTGAGCATCCAGAGAGGTGGGAGCTACTTTTATACACACTGTCTGTGCCCTCCTCATCTCCTGCTCCTGCAGCATGAAACACCTGTAATGCTTTGTTCTGTTTATTGTCTCCCTTTCTCATTAAACCTGAGCTCTGGGATATTGTGGGCTCAAGTACTTCTGACAATTTGTATGGTATCTGCTGGGTGAATTTTCCTAGGGTGCTGGACTGGTTGTTAGGATAGCCTGGGTGACTGGCCTCATTCATGGCAGGGGCAGCAGGTGGAGAGTGGTCCCGGAAGGATTTGAGGAGGTGCATGGAGTCAGGCCCAGCCTCTGGCCTCCTGATTGCCATCTTTCTCAGGATCTGGGATACTAATTTAGAAACTCTTGACTGCTGGAGGCTGTGATTGACCCACTGAGAGCTTTTAGGCGTGTGGATGTGAGTCAGCCAGGATTGATGGAGCATTGACTGCTAATTAGACTCCTCTGGGAAGGTAGAGGGGGGCAACATATAATGCCTTCGCTGTGGGATCTTCATCAAGGGGATGATTCTTGGACGGACATCTTTTCCTCCCTCTTTCCAGGGGCATGCTAGCCCTGTCCTTCTAGGAGCTTTCTATCCTTCAGACACAGCTACTTATATTTTTAATTCCCTCACAGGATGAAGACATGAAGAGAAAGTTTCAAGATCTGCTGTCTGAGGAAAATGAATCCACAGCTCTACCCCAGGTTCTAGCCCAGGCATTTGTATTCCTGATGATCACTAAATGTAGTCTGGGCTTAAGGAGCTGATAAGCAAAGATGATGTGTTTGAAGATCTTCCTGAGTAGCAATTGCTTAACATTGTTTCAGTTTTAATGTAGTAAAAACTCTGTTTTAACTTGATCCACTCCAGCACCCTTAGATTTAAAAATGCAGGATACATTTAATATCTAACACATAATAGATAAGCACAGCCAGGGATTGTCATCCAAAAGGTCACCTGCAAGGCACTTTTGAAAGAGTCTATTAGAGGCTCAAATATAAATTTGTTGGAAAAATTAAAATTTGGATCAGTAGTTGATTCCTTGATTATAATTTTATTCTTTAAAGTTCTTTGTAAGTATAAGTTAATTCCAGTCCTGCTTTTTTGTTGTTGTTGTTGTTGTTGAGTGGTAGCTCTCCTTTTTCCCACTATTTCCTGTCCCCAATTTTTTTTTTTCCTTGAGACAGAGTCTTGGTCTGTCACTCAGGCTGGAGTGCAGTGGTGTAATCTCAGCTCACTGCAACCTCTGCCTCCTGGGTTCAAGCAATTGTCCTGCCTCAGTCTCCCGAGTAGCTGGGACTACAGGTGCCTGCCACTGCACCCAGCTAATTTTTGTATTTTTAGGTGAGATGGGGTTTTGCCATGGTGGTCAGGCTTGTCTCTAACTTTTGATCTGAAGCGATCTGCCCATCTCGGCCTCCCAAAGTGCTGGGATTATAGGCATGAGTCACCGCACCCAGCCTTCCTCCCAATTTTATATATGGGAAAACAACTAAGGCACAAAGATTGTCTTCCTGCAAAACAGCAAGACCTGGGGCTTCAACTGAGAGGAATTATAGTCCTTTTAAACTTGATATTTAGAAGAAGATAATCAAGAGGAAGTTGGTTATGCTACTTGCTTTCAGTATACATCATTCAGAGGTCAGAAACCATAAGGGAGAGAAATATCTATTAGATAAGCATATCTAAGTTCGGGGCTGTGGTGAGGAGTCAGTTGTCAATGATGACAACCAGTAATTTTTGGTACTAGAATTTCACATCAAATGCCCCCACTTTACTGGAAGTGTATTGGGGAACTTTGATAATCTTAAAGAAGCCAGTGATTTTCTTTTGAACATTTCTCCATTTATTTTCAGCCTTCTACTAGTCGAAAGCGGCCCCACGAAGGAGAAGCTGAGGGTGCCGAGACCACAAAGCGCCTGGCTGTGTGTGCTGCTGTATTGTGAACTCCGTGGTTTGAACATGAAAGAAATGTACCTTCTTTCATTCTGTCATCTTTCTTTTCTTTAAGTCCGTTTTTTATAATTTGTATTTTAATTATGGGAATAATTGCTTTTTCACAGTCACTGATGTACAAATAAAAAACTGATGGAACCTAGGCTTTGTGCTTCTGCTTGATAATTGGTTCTTTAGTGGAATGGCTTTATTATTTATTTATTTGAGATAGAGTCTCACTCTGTTGCCTAGCCTGAAGTGCAGTGGTACAAGCTTGGCTCACTGCAACCTCTGCTTCCCAGGTTCAAGCGATTCTTGTGCCTCAGCCTCCCGAGTAGCTGGGATTACATGTATGTACCACCATGCCCAGCTAATTTTTATATTTTTTGTAGAGACAAGGTTTTGCCATGTTGGCCAGCCGGGTCTTGAACTCTGGACCTCAGGTGATTCGCCTGCCTTGGTCTCTTAAAGTGCTGGGATTACACGCGTGAGCCATTGCGCCTAGCCTGAATGGCTTTTTTTTTTTTTTTTTTTTGAGACGGAGTCTCGCTCTGTCGCCCAGGCTGGAGTGCAGTCGCCAGATCTCAGCTCATTGCAAGCTCCGCCTCACAGGTTTACGCCATTCTCCTGCTTCAGCCTCCCAAGTAGCTGGGACTACAGGCGCCTACCACCTCGCCCAGCTAGTTTTTTTGGTATTTTTTACTAGGGGTTTCACCGTGTTAGCCAGGATGGTCTCGATCTCCTGACCTCGTGATCCGCCCATCTTGGCCTCCCAAAGTGCTGGGATTACAGGCTTGAGCCACCGCGCCCAGCTGGCTTTTTTATATTTAAAGTTGTTGTGCCTTTCATCTGGAACTACACCTTGGCTATCACTAGGCAGGTTTCCCAGGATGTCACCCTGATCTCAGCCTGTGAGAGCCGAATACAAATTCTAAGGACCCCTTGGAAAGTTCCAGGGAAAGGAACATAATGAGGTTGGGGGTGGAGTTTGTAGAGACTGGCGGACTGGCTGCCAACATCTTCACGAGAACAGCAGGTACCTTGGTGCATAATAACAGGCCAGTTTATATTCTTATCCTCGCCCTCATAAAGATACAGGTCTACAGTCTCTGAAACCTTTGGGCTAGATAGGTTGTGAAATTTAATGATCCAATTTTAGGAAGATGATAAGGCATATCTGCTATGTGTATGTGTAGCACCCCAGTGGAGTCCTACACATGTGGAGTCCTACCCCAGTGGAGACCAAACATGTTAATATTTCCACAGCAAATATTCACAGTAAGAGGGATAGAGAAAGACTATAGGTAGTTGCATATTGGTTCTTATCAGTCTTTTCTTACAAAGGAGCTACAATGACTTGTTTTTGAGAGCTGTTTGGGTTTTGGAAGTGGAGATAAGGCATATGGTTATGTCATGTTGACCCAACAGTGACCAGGGAGGCCCTGTGCGAAGACTTACCCTTGGCTGTTCTTGTCCTCACAGTGATTCTATGAGTGAGGTCCTCCAGCCACTGTCATGTCACAGGTGCGGAAACCAAAGTTAGAGGAGGAAGGTAACTTTTCCAGTGTTACACAGCTGGTAAATGGCAGAGCTGGGACCCAACCCAGGTCTTTTGGACTCTAAAACTAACGTTCCTTATTGTCCACTGAAACTGCTTTTATAACTTTGCTTGGTTGATGCTAGGACACTTTGTAGCTTGCTGGCCATGCCATGAATTGAGTGCCATGGTTCAAATGCCACTGGCAATTCAGTCAGGGCAGGGTCAAGGGCGCACAGCCGTTTCCTTAGGAAATGAGGTTGGTGGTTGGAAATTTCCATTAAAGGGTATTTAAGCATTCTGAGACTTGGCTGGCCTGGTGTAGGGGGTTTGGGAATTTAGGTGGTTTGCATGTTTAAAGGAATGAGGCTGAGATTGCCAAGTAGATGGGTTTTAGCTCATTTGAATATTTAATGTGGAGGCTGTGGTTTCCTGGGACATTTATCCCACTCGTGTAGAGTTAGCTGGCTTTTCTCTGTTTCGTTTCATTTCTTTTCTTTTTTCTTTTTTTTTTTGTTTTTGAGATGAAGTCTCACGCTTGTTGCCCAGGCTGGAGTGCAATGGTGCGATCTCGGTTCATTGCAACCTCCGCCTCCTGGGTTCAAGCGATTCTCCTGCCTCAGCCTCCCAAGTAGCTGGGATTACAGGTGCTCACCACCATGCCCAGCTAATTTTTGTATTTTTAGTAGAGATGGGGTTTCACCATGTTGGCCAGACTGGTCTTGAACTCCTGAGCTCAGGCAATCTGCCCGCCTCCCTCCCAAAGTGCTGGACACAGGCATGAGCCACCATGCCCTGCCACCCTTCTCTGTTTCTAGAGCATTTTATATTAACTCCCTCTCATGATATCTTCCATGGTAGACTGAAAAATGGGCCCTCCAAAGTGTCCTCATCTTAATCCAAGAATATGTTCCTTTCCATGACAAAAGGGACTTTGCAGATGTGATTAAGCATCTTGAGATTGGAGCTTATCCTATGTTGCCTGTGGGTCCAGTGTCCCATCACAGTGTTTTGTTTTTGTTTTTGTTTTCTTTTTTTTGAGATGGAGTTTTTGCTCTTGTTGCCCAGGCTGGAGTGCAATGGTGCAATCTCAGCTCACTGCAACCTCCACCTCCCAAGGTTCAAGCGATTCTCCTGCCTCAGCCTCCCGAGTAGCTGGGATTATAGGCACTTGCCACCATGCCCAGCTGATTTTTGTATTTTTAGTAAAGATGCAGTTTCACCATGTTGGCCAGGCTGGTCTCTAACTCCTGACCTTGTGATCTGCCCGCCTCGGCCTCCCAAAGTGCTGGGATTACAGGCATAAGCCACCACATCTGGCCCACAGTGCTCTTTTAAGAGGGACTCAGCAGTCAGGAGAGATGGCAATGTGATGATGACTGAGTGTCTTAGTCTTTTTTGTATTGCTATGCAATATCTGAGACAGGGTAAGTTATAAAGAACAGGTTTATTTCTTACAGTTCTGGAGGCTGGGAAGGTCAAGATCGAGGGGCCCGCTTCTGGTGAGGGCCTTCTTGCTGTGTCATCCCATGATGGAAGGCATCACATCAAGAGAGAAGGGGGGTTGAACTCATCCTTTTATTTGGAACCCACCTCCATGATAATTAACCCTCTGCTGAGATAACACCATTACTCTATTAATGAGGGCAGATCTTTCATGACCTAATTACCTCTTAAAGGTCCCATATCTCAACACTGTTGCATTGGAGATCAAATTTCCAACACATGAACTTGGGGGGTCACATTCAAACCATAGCACTGTGCAGAGATTGGACTGGTGTGCTTTAAAAATGGAGGAAAGGGCCACAATCCAAGGATTATAGGTAACCACTAAAAACATAAAAAGGCAAGAAAATGGGTTTTCCCTTCAGAACCTGCTGAAGGAATCAGTCCTTTACAACTTGACTTTAGTCAAGTGAAACTGATTTGAGGCTTCTGACCTATAGAACAATAAGATATTAAGTCTGTGTTGTTGTAAGCCGATCAGTTTGTGGTAATTTGTTACAGCAGCCGTAGAAAACTAATTGACTCACCAATGTGAGAAATCAGCTGCTGATTTAAGGCTACCCAGCACCTACTTTCTCTCCTAATCTCACTCTAATATTCTCTTGGAGGAATTGTTTTCCCTATCCCATCAAGTTATGGGAGATGGGGCCAGGTGTGGTGGCTCAGCAATCCCAGCACTTTGGGAGGCTAAGGCGGGTGGATCACTTGAGGTCAGGAGTTTGAGACTAGCCTGGCCAACATAGTAAAACCCCATCTCTACTAAAAATACAGAAAGTAGCTGGGGGTGGTGGTGGGCACCTGTAATCCCAACTACTCCAGAGGCTGTGGTACGAGAATTGCTTAAACCCAGGGGCAGATGTTGCAGTGAGCTGAGATCGCACCACTGCACTCCAGCCTAGGGGACAGAGTGAGACTCCATCTCAAAAAAACAAAAACAAAAACAAAAACAAAAAAACAAGTTATGGGAGAGGATGGGAAAGCTAAGTATCTTTTGCACCTACCCCCACTCCCACCATTGCAAAGCTGAAGGGGTTCCTAGAGGCTTCGGCTGTGGAGCTGTTCCCACTGGCCCCCCAGCTGAAGGTGGGTTTAGGACTTTGAAACATTAACAAATGGAGCTGGGGTGGCAATGACGAGAACAATATTGTGCTAAACTGAACTCTGCACTTCCTAACTTTGGCTTTGGGTAAATTACCTCAAATTGCTGAGCCTTTGTTTCCATATTTGTAAAATGGGTGCAGTAAGAGTACCAACCTCTTCTATGCTGTTTGGAGGAGGCAGGTCCATAAAGTACCTGGCATGTGGTAAGGGATTCATGAATGTTGGCTTCTATCATTAAGGGTGGGAGAGCCACATAAGTAGCCAGAGTCATAGAAAGTTCTTGAGCCAGAGAAGTAAGATAATCTTTTCAGCTTTTTGTGCAGCATAAAAGGTAGGTAATTTGCTTGCCCCTGACCAAGCAAATCTGGGACTTGCCAGGCCTGGGGTGAATGGTGGGAACCCAGGTAGAGGGATATTTCTCATTGGCTGAATTAACTGTGACTCTGTTTTGCGGAGCAGCCAGGTTGCTTCATGGTGGACTTGCTGCATGCCTACATGATGGTGCCATGGATAGCTCTTGTTTGTGCCAGCCCTGTACCCGATACCTCTTGTGGTAACTGCATCCCTATTTTTCAGAAGGAAGCATCCCTCCTTCCACTTTCCCATTTTCCCCATGTCCTTCTGGAGAGGATGACCCCAGCGCCTTCCTGAAGGGCTTCATAGCCAGGTCTGGCCAAGCTGGATGTGGTGATTGGCTCAGGCAGGGGCATGTGGCCCAAATGGGTCCAGTGAAAGTCAGCCCTGGGACTTTGGCTGGAACTATCGGGGAACAGCCTCTGCTTTCTTGGGCAGACGTGAGTTTAGGAGCCGCTCAGGCCACCATGTGGAAAGAACTGCATGAGAATGAAGTAATCAAAGGGAAACAACTGAGAGATTAGAGAGACTTATGTTGTATAAGTGCTTGTATCCAGCTATGCCTGAAGTGCGGTACCACCCCAGGCCTTTTCAGTCATGCTATCAGTTTTGTTCCTTTTTTCTGTTTTACTCTTGGTGGAGTTTTTTGTTTTTTGTTTTTTTGTT